TAAATGGATTCCCCTCCCGTGCTTGTATACTGGGACAAGGACAGTAGGCCAGTTAGATGTCCTCGTCCAGCTGGGACTGTAGCTCCACTTCACTGTTTCCATGGAAACGTTTATTAAAATATTCTGAAAATTTATTTTTTTTTTGCACTTTATTTTACTTTTGGATATTTTACTAAAAACTCAAATTTTCCGAACTATAAATAATAAAATTAAAAAGAATAAAGAATAAATGAATAATATACAAAAAGTACTGACTTAAGTAAAGGAGCTGAATATTTCCTGCAACGCTGCACAATACAAAGTGAAAAAGGCTAAAAATAAAGAATAAAAAAAATAAAAAGAATAAAAAATAAATAAATGAAAGTACTTCAAAATAAAGAATGAATACAAATAAAATAATATATAAAAATATAATAAAGTTCTAACTCATGTAAAGGATCTGAATATTTCTTCCAAAAGAATAAAATAAAACATGAAAGAGTTAAAAAGATTAAATAAAAATATAATAAAAGTACTTAGAAAGGTCCTTGAAAATAAAAATAACATAAAAAATAAAGAAAATAATAAATAAAGGAATAAATAAAAAATATGTAAACAATCTGAATATTTCTTCCACCACAGTACAGTACAAAGTAAACAACAACAACAACAACAACAAAACATAAAGTCCATCAAATAAACATAAAACACAATCTTCACCCAGTCAAAGCAAATTAAAATGGAGACGTTTATCAGATGTCTCATTACAGTGGAGTCTTTTTCTGTGATTTTAAAATGGGAGGTGTTTGACCTTTGACCTCCACCCAGCTGTAGATGGAAACAGACAGCTGACAGATAGTGTGTCTCAGCTGAAGACAAACTCTTGCTGTGTCTCACCGTCCGACCGACAACATCGTGCAACATGGACAACGCTGACAACCTGTTTCATCCCAGGTACGACCTACAAACCTGTGTGTGTGTGTGTGTGTGTGTGTGTGTGTGTGTGTGTAATATGAAGATTGATACTCCTCACAGAGGGCGTTTAAAGGTTGAATCAAAGTCTGCAAAGTGGTCATGAAATCATTCTTCTCTTGTTTTCAGAAGCTGTTGTAATCAGATTTAACAGATTAAAGGTTTTATTTTCTCCTTAAATAATGTTTTGTTGTTGTTGTTGTTGTTTACATTTGATTCATTTTCCTGTCTGTCATTTCATCTGGTGTAAATATGAAACATGAAGGTTGTCCTGATGTAACTTCATCCAAGTTCTGTATCTAAGTACAAATTTAAGGTACAGTAAGTATTTTGATTTTAGGCCACGTGACACTTCGACAACATGTGAGGTAAATATTGTACTTTTACTTCACTGTATTTATCTGACGGCTTTAGTTACTCTCCACGTGAATATTTCACACACTGTTTTATAAATTCAACATGTGATAGGTTTAAAAAATTACCTTTATATAGATGAAACAGTAAATATAGTTGTTGAACACATTCAGATGCTGCATGGACTGAAAAACAATACAATCACAACTCTAAATATATAGAGAATAAAATACTTTATATGTAAACGTAACACTTTGAATGGAGCCATTTTGTAGAGTCAGTACTTTAACTTTAAATACTTTAAGCACAATTTTCTGCTGATACAGTTTTGACACTTAAATAAGACTTTCAGCTCTAACAGAGTATTTCTTTATTGAAGTGTCGCTGCAGTCTGAAAGCTTCTCCCACCTCTATTGTAGTTTGTCTCATAGCAGCTCGTGTTATTTATAGCAGAAGGCCTGGCTGCAGCTGTTTCTGCATTTCAGTGGTTCAGCAGCTGCTGCCTGTTTGTGTGTGTGTGAGTGTTTGTTTTACTGACACTGTGGGGACCCCAGTTTCATTCGGGGACAACAGGTGGGGTCCCCACAAGGTCTTGTATTATAATTTAGGGGTAAGACTGTTGGTTGAATTGAGGGTAAAGCAGGAGCTCTCAAACTTAAGATAATGTAATCCCAAACACCTCCTCAGTGAAAGTCACCCCGACCCTACTCTGACTTCTGCCCCCTCCACTTTTGTTGTTGTCCTTAACGGTCATGAAATACAACAAACAACAAAATACAGAAACAACAACAGGAAAAGAAAAATAAATAAACATAACAGAGAACACAATGCAGCGCAACAGAGGATGAAATTAATTTAAAGTGTCAGGCTCAAATCAATCGTGCAGCAACAAAAACAGGTCTTCAGCAGTGACTTGAAGTTTTCTGTTGTCGGAGTTATGTGAAGAAGCTGCAACAATCCACACGTGTCACCTGGACGTGTCTCACACCTGGTGTGAGGTCAGCACATTGTGTGTTCACATGAATGAGAAATTAAATAGAATAAAAAAGATGTAATATATGAACAGAAATCAGTTTAAAATGACCCCAACAAGATTAATTTTTCATGAGTTATTGTATAAAAAACTTTTAATTTTAGGTGTATTTCCCTTCAGTAATGAACTTGTCTTGATGTGTGTGTGTGTGTGTGTGTGTGTGTGTGTGTGTTGGTGACAGCTGAGTGTTTGTGTATGTAAATGTTAACCAGACTCACAGCAGACGGGTGCGTCAGTTGCTTTCTGTTTATCATTATGCAAATAGGCTGGTCTCAGTGAGCCTGTGTGTGTGTGTGTGTGTGTGTGTGTGTGTGTATACACAGGGCTTTGATGGTATTAATGCGGATGTTCCTTCATCACAGATAACATCTATCAGAACTTGAATGACGGCTCTTTCTATGCTTTCATGTTCACTCTCTTTTCTCTGGTCCTGTTGTGCTGCAGTTTGTGGAGCTCTGGTGAGCAGTGGTGAAAAAGTAAATGTGGTAATACAGCAAAGTGAAATCCTTCACTACAAGTCAAAGATGTTAAATTAGAAAATCCTATTTAAGTAAAAGTTTGGAAGCAAAATGTGACATTAAACATACTGATCATGACATCATCGTGTAAACAGGATTATTATCACTGGTACATCTGTTGCACTTTTAGCAGAGGAGGAGGTCGCTGTGGTGTGACTTCATTTTAAAACATTTTATCTTGAAATCTTGAAATGAAATATTTCTACTTTAAACAGTAGCCCTTTTAAACAGGAGTTGTGCAAATTTGCAGGAAAGCCCAATCAGTGTTTTTTCAGCATTGGCAGTATAAAAACAAAATCAGGGAGTGCAACAAAATGCCGCCTACCTACTTTTGTTTATACAGAATGTGCCTTTTTCGGGGCAATGGGGGGCGTGAGCAAGTAACAAAACGTGTAGCTCAGCGTGTGACGTAAACAGTGACGTGGGAGGGAAGCCGCGGCTGGTCAGTCCTTCGGTGATTCTCTCGTAAGTCGGCCCGTCCTTCACCGTCCCCGTCATCTGACGGTTAATGGCCTCTTCGTTTGCGAGGACAAGGAGGGCGCGCAATTCCTTGTCTCCCCAGTTGCTCATCTTTACAGTGTCTGTCAGGTTTGTGTTTCCCTCTTGCTACTAGCTGCTCGCTAATTCCTGCTGTCAGCTGTTTCCTGTTTATCCACCGCCAGTGGCTCGCACGTGCGGCGTCATCAACAGCTCCTCCCACAAGTCATCAACAGCCCCTCCCGTTCTGTTTAAACTAAAAGGGTTCGCTCGCAGCTTGCCGGCAAAACGGCCCAACATTCGCGGAAAATCTGGCAGTGTAAAAGGGTCTAATGTCTGAACGGCATTTAGTTTGTCGAAGTGGAGTTTGTTTTAACTTCTAACAAAGTAGCATAAAAACTTTATTTTTTAATGCAAGATTATTTACACCTATGTTTATTTTAAATCAACTTGAAAATGTTCTAGAAATAAAACGTCTCTGTAGCTTAAAGCAGGAAAGTCACGGCACAGGAGCTGTTTTTAAAAAAAATTCTTAAAGATTTATGTAAAAAAACAGGCTGCAATATTCCAAATGCACAAGCACCTTCATAAGAAACTAAAACTTAAAGCACAATATTTCTTGCTTAAATGAATCACAGTAGAGGGATAAGGTAGTAGAAAACAGGAATCTTCAAGTATTTGTACTCCAGAACAGTATTTTAGTAAACGTACTTTCCACCTGTTCACCTTTGTTTTCTCTTTCAAATAAGTCGGTCTAACCTGTTGAAGCCAAGCAGCAACTTCTGAGGCTGAAACATGAAGCCAATGCTGAAGTGCCAAAAACTGCAGTTCCTCTAATGACCACTAGAGGCTGGCTCCAAGAGCGAGTCATTCCCCACAGACTCCCATGTTAACATGTAGAAATAATCATGTTTACAGCCTGGTCTCTGTATCTAGCTTTTTATATAACTCACCTGTTTATATTTTATTAAGTAACAAATAATAAGGGGCGTGGCCTCTTTGAGTGACAGCTGGGTGCCGTTGCTGGGCAACTAGTTATAATGTGACCATGATAAAACCCCAGAGTCACAGAGCATAGACGTAACTGTTGCTATTTCAGTGTGTTTTCAGTTAATAAAAGTAAACTGTGACGTTTTAGTCTAAAAAAAAAAGTCATATATTTATCTTATCTGACATTTTTCCCGATTTTGTTTCAAATATTTGCCTGTTGTTTGCTACCAAAAATTATCATTATCGTTATCATAGTAAACCATAGCTGTAAATGCACAGTGATTTAAACATTAATTCATACCTATGTCTATAAAGCTTTTAGATAATGGTCAATAAATCCAGAATGGGCACTAGGTCATGATGATTTGATGATCTGTGTTTTTGGACAGGTATTTTTAGTGCCTGATGTTATTTATTTATCTTTGTTTTTTTGGTTACATTTAGGGTATGATGCTCAAATGCTCGATTTTGATGCTAACTAAGCTAGCAGTAAACAAAGAAGCAGTCCCAAATGCTTGTTAGGAGGCAGGTGGGGTCACGAGAAACCGGACATCGGCCTGGGACTCTCCCCTGGAGTCATGTGTTTGGATCTCAACAAACGTTGAGTGAACTTTGAGTCATTTTAAAGTTCGTCCTCACCGTGTTTCTTCCGTAAACCTAACCACAGTAAATTAACGTTGATTATGTAACGTTATGTTAAGGACGTAATGTCACTCATGGGGCGCTAATTCGTAGGATATCATATGAACCATTCAATGAGAATACATTGCATCCAAATATGAATACTTCTGGCTCCAAAAAAACAAGATGGCAATGGCCAAAATGCCAAACTCAAGGCTTCAAAACGGGAGCCAACAAACCAACGGGTGACATCAGGGTGATGAGTTTGGCATTCTGGCCGTCGCCATCTTGTTTTTTGACTACATCCATTATTTATACAGTGTCAGGTTGAAACAGTACCTGACGGGGAAAAAGAATAATCCTTAAATTCAAATGGACGAGTGCTTTCTAAAATAAGTACTGAAATGATGAAGACAAACAGCAGCTCTGTTTTTGGCAGCCGTTCACTGAGGGATGTCTGCAGGCTGACAGGTGTGAACTCTACTCGACTCATCAAACAGGAAGTGCTTTGAGGCGGATGGAGACAACAGGAGTCGTTTCTGTTTTGATACAGAAATGAAATGACAAACAAACTTCCCTTTATCAATTAATTCTGACATTTCACACTCTGGGTGTGTCGAGCCCTCTGGCACTGACAACACTGACATCCTCAAGATACCATCTGTAGAAATGTTTGACCGCTGTGATCATGACATCACCGCCTGTCTCATTTCCCTACTGTCAGTCATGTTTTGGCCACGCCCACTGCAGTGTCACTGAAAACAGAGCCAATCATAAAGTCAATTGAACCCTTTCATTTACATTTTGATTTGTTACATCTGTTTGAGGGATGTAAAGAATCAAATGACAAACTTGGACGTGACTTGGACTTGGTCAAACTGACTTGAGACATGATTTAAACTTGTTCTAACTGACTGCAGACTTGACTTGAACTCATCTCAGCTTACTTGAAATTTGACCTGAACTCACACCAGTCTTCTTGAGGCTGGACCTGTTGCAACTGACTTGAGACTTGATTTGGCCATGTCTCAGTTGACTGGAGACCTGACTGGAACTTATTTCAACTGACTTGAGACTTGACCTGAACATGTCTCACTTTAGACTTGACTATACCTTTTTGCAACAGACTTGATTTTAACTTGCATCTGGTCAGACTTGAACCATATTGAACTTACCCCAATCCACTTGAGACTGGACGTATACTTGTTGCAACTGACTTGAGACTTGATTTTTATTTATCTCAATCGATTTGAGACTTGATTTGACTTAATTTGGCTCGGCTGAGACCTGACTGGAACTTGTTTCAAAGACTTGAGACTCGTCCTGACCTTAGCTCAATCAACATAAGGCAGGACATTTTACTGCAACTTCCTTGAGCCTTGATTTCATTTGGTCTTGCTCTAATTTAGACCTGACTTGAACTTGTTCCAACTGACTTGAGACTTGACCTGAACATGTCTCAGTTTAGATTTGACTAGACCTTTTTGTAGCAGACTCGAGACTTGATTTGAACTTGCATCTGTTCAGACTTGACTTGAATTTGTCTCCATGTACTTGACATTTGACCTGAACTTGTCCCAGTTCACTTGAGACTGGACTTTGACTCGACTCTAATGACTTGCAACATGATTTAAATTTCTGTCCATCAACCTAAGACTTGATCTGAACTTGTCTTAGCTGAGACCAGACTTGACACTTGACTTGGCCTTGTCTCAGTTGACTGGAGACCTGAACGGAACTTATTTCAACTGACTTGAGACTCGACCTGAACTAAACTCAGTCAGCTTGAGGCTGGCTTCAACTGGCTTGCAGCTCGATTTCATTCAGTCTCAATCAAATGTAGACCTGATTTGGACTTGTTCCAACTGACTTGAGACTTGACATGAACATGTTTCAGTTTAGATTTGAGTAGACCTGTCTGCAACAGACTTGAGACTTGAATTTAACCTGCATCTGGTCAGACTTGACTTGAACTTGTATTAGCTTACTTGAAACTTGAACTAAACTTACCCAAGTCCACTTGGGACTAGACTTTGACTTGTTCCAACTGACTTGGGACTTGCCTCAGTTTAGACTTGACTCTACCTTTTTACAGCTGACTTGAGAGTTGATTTGAACTTGATTTGAACTTTTCTCAGCTGAGACCTGAATTTGACTTGTGACTCGCCATGAGACGTGATCGTGTCTCAGTTGACCTGAGACGTGACACAAAGGTCTTTTAGACACCGACATCACATGTGACATTTGTTCCATCAGGTCTTCATGAAGGTGAAACACAGCTTCGAGAGTTTGGGAGTAAATTTAGAGAATTTATTTTTCCTTCACACATTTGGAGCTTCCTGTGAGAAAATTGACTTTTGTCTCTGTCTCTTGTCTCCTGTCGCTGCTGTCGCCTCTGTCTGTCTGTCTGTCTGTCTGTCTGTCTGTCTGTCTCTCAGCCTGGCAGCGGCTCTCATGAAGCTCGATCCAGAAGACGGCGAGCAGATCATGGAGTATTTTAAAACTCACGCGCTGCTGACGAGAGAAAAAGCACGTAAGAACTTCCTCTGATAAATGTTCTGCATGATCCATTAGCTGATGTCATGTTCATGGTGACTCCAACAACTCATCTCCTGTGAATGTGAGATCAGTGATCAATCAACACGTTAACATTTTCTCTGGTTCCTGCTTTGATTTCAAATCTCACGTGTCTGTAGAAGAGTCTGAGACAGAGTTAGCACAGAGCTGGTGGAGGAGCTGACACATGATGTGCAGCAGGTTCATGTTCATGGAGCTGATGGAGAAGCTGACACATGATGTGCAGCAGGTTCATGTTCATGGTGGTAAGACGCCCCCTTGTGGACGAGATGAACTGTGTGTGTGTGTGTTTCAGTGCTGCAGGCGTCAGTCAGAGATCAGAAGAAGCTGCTGGTCGAAAACGGTAAACTGAAGAAAGACATCGAGCAGCTGAGAGCTCAGCTGCAGGAGAAACAGAGGAGACGCACCGGTAAACATGCACACACACATGCATGAAACATGCACACACACACACACACACACACACACACACACACACACACACACACACACACGTGATCTCCAGTGACACACTGCATTTCCAGACCCTGAACCTGATACTTATCTTAATCCTAAAACCAAGTCTTAACCCTTAAACAGCCCTTTGAGACACAAGAGCAAAACTAAATATGTTCTACAGCTGCTTTAAAAATGTCCCAAATGTCCCCACTGTCCAGATAATGTCCCCACTGTCCAGATAATGTCCCCCAAAGTCTTCAAGGTGTAAAAGGTGTAAAAATGTTTTGTAAAATAAGCAACATTTCTTTAAACGTGAAGTTAAAAAAACTTGAACATTTTTCCAAAACATTTTACTTTCCATCAAATGTCCCCACTTTTCAAAATGTCCCCACTTCCCACAATGTCCTCAATGTCCTCGGTTATCAATAAATGTCTTGAAGTTCCAAAATATCCTACTTTCCATAGGTCCCCACTATTCAAAATGTCCTCACTTTGTGTGAAAGTTCTCGTTTTCAGGAAAAGTATTAATTTTGTAAAAATGTCCCCACTTTTCAATTAATGTCCTCAAGTTCCAAAATATCCTCACTTTCTATAGAATGTCCTCCCTTTCCAGAAAAGTCCATGCTTTGCATTCAAGTTCTCACTTTCCAAAAATGTTCTCACTTTGTAAAATGTCCTCACTTTCCAAAAATGTCCTCACTTTGTAAAATGTCCTCACTTTCCAAAAATGTCCCCACTTTCCAAAAATGTCCTCACTTTCCAAAAATGTCCCCACTTTCCAAAAATGTCCTCACTTTCCATAAATGTCCTCACTTTCCAAAAATGTCCTCACTTTCCAAAAATGTCCCCACTTTCCAAAAATGTCCTCACTTTCCAAAAATGTCCTCACTTTCCATAAATGTCCCCACTTTCCAAAAATGTCCTCACTTTTCAACAAATGTTCTCACTTTCCAAAAATGTCCTCACTTTCCAAAAATGTCCCCACCTTGTAAAATGTCCTCACTTTCCAAAAATGTCCTCACTTTGTAAAATGTCCTCACTTTGTAAAAATGTCCCCACTTTTCAACAAATGTCCTCACTTTCCATAATGTCCTCAGTTTTCAATTAATGCCTTGAGGTTCCAAAATATCCTTACTTTCCAAATGTCCCCACTATTCAAAATGTCCTCACTTTGTGTGAAAGTTCTTGGTTTCAGGAAATGAATCAATCATTTTGTAAAAACATCCCATTTTTTAAAAATGCCCTCACTTTTAATTTAAGTTCTCACTTTCCAAAAATGTCCTCACTTTGTTAAAATGTCCTCACTTTTAATTTAAGTTCTCACTTTCCAAAAATGTCCTCACTTTGTTAAAATGTCCTCACTTTTCAATAAATGCCTTCAAGTTCCAAAAATATTCTTTCTTTCCATGTTGTAATGTCCTCACTTTCCAAAATATTCTAACTTTGTCTGTAAGTCTTACTTCATATTTAAGTTCTCACTTTCCAAAAATGTCCTCACTTTTCAATTAATGCCCGCAAGTTCCAAAATGTCCTTGCTTTGCATTCAAGTTCTCACTTTCCAAAAATGTCCCCACTTTTTAAAATGCCCTGACATTGTTAAAATATCCCCATTTTCAATAAATCTCTTCAAGTTCCAAAAATATTCTTACTTTCCACATAATGTTCTTACTTTTTGTGTTAGTCCTCACTTTCTGTAAATGTATTAATTCTGTGAAAATATCCCCACTTACTAAAATGTCCTCACTTTGTTTAAATGTTCTATCTTATCAAAACATCCTCATTTTCTAAAATGTTTCAATAAATGCCTATAAGTTATAAAATATCCTTACTCTCCATAGATTGTCCTCACTTTAAAGAAAAATGTCCTCAGTCTCAAAGACGTCCTGACCGTCCCTGACCCGGTCCTCACAAAGACAGAGACAGGGACATGCAGACAAACACAACTGTGGATGATTTTCTTTCCCCCTGAGCTGCTTCAGTGTCAACTGTGGTCAGATTTAAATAACTCCAGAGTGGATTATTTTTAACTTAATAAGAACTTTATTAAGTCAAACCCTTCTGGAGATTTGTCTCAAAGATAACAAACAGCCGGGACATGAAATTAAATTCCTGCATTTATTTACCGACAATACGACATCACTTAAAAAACAATCACATCTCTTTTTCTGTCTTTCAGCCAAGGCTTTATTCTCCCCGGCCCCGCCTCCTCCGACTGTTAGCCCCGCCCCCACAACACCTGTCGATCAACCTCCATCCCCTGCTGGAGCAACAGCTGCTGTTCCTTCAAATGCCCCTCCCCCCTCCTCACATGACCACAGAGACAGGCACAGCAGGAGGAGGAGAGGAGACAGGAAAGGTGAGATCAGGAAGGAGGAAAGGAAGCAGGGTGGAAGTGGGAAAGGAAAGGAAGGAACTGATGAGGAAATATAGAAAGTGAAAGAAAAGATGGAAGGAGGAGTATTTATAGACTGACTTTACGTTTTTCTGCCTTTCAGCTCGTCCGTCCTCTGACTCCTTCTCGTTGGAGGTGAGGCCTCGTGTCGATGTGTCGAGACTGGACCTGCGGGTTGGACGGATCCTCAGCGTCCGCCAGCACCCGCTGACAGACGCCATGTCCGTCCAGGAAGTGGACGTGGGAGAGAACGCACCCCGCACGGTCGTCAGCAAACTGGGAGTGAAAACGAACCAAGAGGAGGTAACTAATGACCTCTATTCTTAAAATGTTTAAACTTTTCCCTTTAAATACGACATCATTCTCGAACTTTTACAAACTATTTTAAAAGCATTATTATTTGACTGTTATTCATAATAAATTCTGACTTTGTTCATGAAATATTTTGAATTAATTCTCAAAATGTTAAAACTGTCCTCTCCAAATATAATGACATTATTCTCAGCATCAAAACATTTGACTACAACTTTATTCTCGAAGCTTTTATGAACTTAAATCTTCAAATACTGTGATTTTATTCTCAAAATGATACTTTATTCTTGAAATATTAGAACCTTTCCTCTAAATACATTATTCCAGGAATGAAATAAAATAAAATTAATATTATTTATGACACGACTTTAGTCTCAAAATATTATGACTTTAACTTCATTACGTTAAATCTTTATTTTCTAAATTTTTTTGTCATAATATGAATCAATTTCTGAATTTTTTTTTCGCTAAATGTTTTTGAAAAGTTAAAACTTTATTTTGATTACTACCTTATTCTTAGAATTTTAATTTTTTCTCTAACCTTCTTTTAATTCTTGCTTTTCTTCATTATAATAATTTCTGTCACTTTGTTCTGTTTAGTTTGGTCCTTTTCTTTCTTTAATCTCTGTCTCTTTAATCTAAAATCTGTCGTTATTAAACATCATATTTATCATAACTAATTTCCCTCTGTGTCCGTCTGCAGCTTCAGGGCAGTCTAGCTGTGTTGCTATGCAACGTCAAGGCCTGTAAACTGAGGGGCGTGGTCTCCCAGGCCCGCCTCCTCTGTTGCTCTACCTCTGATGACCACACTGAGCTGCTGACTCCGCCCACTGGCTCCACCCCCGGAGACAGAGTCACCTTCCTCAACTTCCCCGGTAACCATGGCTACAACGATGAAATTAAATAACAAACCGATGAACCTGCTGTGACTCTGTCTCTGTGTGTTCAGGTGACCCGGACAGAGAGCTGCAGTCCAAACAGAGGGTGTGGGAGCTTCTCCAGCCCGACCTGCAGGTCGACTCTAAGGGTGTGGCCAACTATAAGGGCTGCGGGTTCGAGGTGAAGGGGAAGGGGCTGTGCAGAGCGCCCTCCCTCACCAACTGCACCATCAGATAGACGCCACGAGGGGCGACATCATCGAGGACAAGACATGCTGCAGACGTGATGGTCACCAGAGTGCTTTTATTGTGAAAAACCGGCTCAGCTGTGGCAAAGCGACAACAAAAATCAGCTGCTGACGATCAATCGCCAGCTGGTGCGGTTAGCTTATGAAAGAGAAATTCATTTTCCTTTAATCACTGTTTATTGATTAAAAATCTGAAACCACAGTCATCTGTATACTCAAGTGATCTGTTTACACATGACCCGAGGAAAGGAAGGAAGTTGATTAGACAGAAGATATTAAGCTGTGGTGACGTATTGTTTGTCACAGTTCAGTGTTCGATAACATTAGTTAGTATTTTATGTAACATAAAAAAAGCCTTTCAGATACAGATCTGGGGATTAAATACCACTGGGAAACACTGTGATATGCAGGTAAAAACATCAGGTGTGGTGTCACAAAAGTGTGTCCTTGAGTGTTCTTGTTGACAAAGGACCTGAGGAAATGAAGGCCGATGCTAAAGGTCCAAAAACAAACAAACAAACAAGTGTGTCAGGTTGGGACTAAAACAGTTGTTTAAAAGCATTTCATGTGAAGTATAAATCTGGGGGATTACAACTAAAGCCCTGTTCAGACAGGATTAGTTTAACATGGAGACGTGAGGTAAGGTAATTATTACCAGGGATTTTAGTCCCGTCCGAACGCGCCATGTCTGTAATCATTAACGTTGCTTAACGTTACGGATACGGGCCAAAAGGAGCAGTACCACCGGGAACCGTGGGGGCAGTGTTGCTGTCACTACCCGATACGTAGCTCTAGTGAGACACGAAGAAGAAATAACAATTCAATTTCTCTCATCGGCAGTAATAGAGAAAAGAATTCTCCGTCCTCCAGTCGCGATGTATTTAACGGCCTCACCGACCACCGCCTCCTACAACGCTGCCTCTGTTTTTGTCTTTTATGCAAGAGATACATTATCAATATCTCCTCCACAGTTGCCATGTTTGTTTTTGAGTTTGCTGTTGTCATAAACTTTTGACTCTGGGCTGCCCCCTGGTGGATATATTGGTTAACATCCATGCTAACGTAAAGGACGCATGGAAGTATGTGGGCAGTGACGGTAACATCGTTTGAAACAGACGTATACATTTTTGTACGTAAAGGGAGCATAAATGGGCCTTTACGGATAATGACTTTTACCTTCTGTAAAACGGTCCGGGGAGAATACCTCGGCTATATTAATCCTGTGTGAACGCGATCCTCTGTAAAAATATATGTAAATATTTCGTCCTGTTTACAACCATTTTTTCACGTTTTTTTGATGATGGAGGCGCTTGAAGAAGCATCCGGTGTTGTCAGCAGTCGTGATAGTGGACATTCTTCTAATGATCGCATCAAAAAGAGAAGAAAGCACTTTTCAGAGCCATGAGACTTGTGGTTGTGTTAGGTCGGCCTAATGTAAATCCATATTGCTGATCGCTGTGTACACACAATCCTGATTATGGGCAATGTTTCATGTTGGGCTAATCATTCATTATTATTATCCTTCAGCTGATGCTCACAGGAAGCAACGTAGCACGCACATGCCATTTCTTGTCCCGTGTGAATCGGACACTTATATTACAGACATCCTGTGGTAAACTGACATTAGTCCCCACCATGTTAAACTAATCCCGTCTGAACGATACTCAATCGAGGACATGCAGCAATGTGTTGATGACAACACCAAAGTCTGGTGGCTGTAATGCTGCTGGAAAATGCCACGATGTGTTGTAAACAGGTTCTGTGGCTTTTACACAAAGTCAGCTCAGATACTACGTCACGTTAGAAACATGGATATGACACATATGAAACGGTCAAATGAAACATATTCGTGGTTTGCAGAAACGTACAACAGACATTTTCTCCAGGCAGCTGGGCCGCTGACTCTCGCCCTTTTTCACCATTACGTGGGAGGGGCCAGAGAATTTGGCTGAACCAAACTGTCAAATCGGAGCCGACACATATGTACGATGACTCTGAGCAGAGAAAGCTTTCGTTCTGTTGGAGGATCGTACGTCAGCGTGGAGCCGTTAGTGCATCGTTTAAAGGTCAGAGTGAGACTCCGTCCGCACCGTCAGAGCTCTGTGATGGTTCCTGGCTGAGAGGCGGAGCAGTCGCTCTCTCAGCGGTCGTCCTCTGATTGACGGCCAATCACAGCTGTTGTCCAAGAACAAGACTCCTCCTCCCACCTCCTCAGCCAGAGCTCTCAGCCAATCACTGGTCTGTGTCAGGTAGACTGACGGGTGAAGCCCCGCCTCCTTCAGGTGGTCAGCGTGTGTGAGGACGAGTAAAGCGTGACGACGCCATTCAGGACCGAAGAGAGTCTGAAAACACAGAACACACGAAATCACCCAAAACATCCTGTACGTCACTGTGTGTGTGTGTGTGTGTGTGTGTGTGTGTGTGTGTGTGTACCTCCACGTGCTCCGTCAGGTGTGTGTTGTCGTGCAGCAGGTCAGCTCTCACAACGAGCACAACTACGTGCACGCCCTCAGGGCACAGCTCATGCACGCGATGTGACTGGATCACATGAGGGGGCGTGTCTATCACTCTCAACACGAGGTCAGACTCCGCCCCCCGCCTTCTGAAGTACTTTGGAAAATTTCGGCTGAGCAGTTTGTGCTCCGTCGTCATGGAAATGCCAGAGATGCAGGTGCCTGTTTTAAATTCCTCTCCACCTGCCCGACAACACAAAGACAATAAAAGACAATAAAAGTAAAAATATTTCTAAGATGTGATTTGGGCCAATCTGTAGATTCTACTGACCAATCAGAGCGTTCCCCACAGAGCTCCGCCCACTCTGCCTGTCGCCTAGCAACAGCGCGTTCAGGGCCAGCACATCCCGCTCGCTGTCACCGAGGTGACGACTCCAGCTGCTGAGGATTCTGGAGATGCTGTTGCCATGACGAATTCGTTCCGTGCTGAGATCCATCTCGTACAGACGAGCTGAGGTGAACGATCAACAACATTTTTTACAACACTGAGTATGACATTAAATATTTTTTGTTGTTAAATTATTTTATTTATAAAAACTTTCATGACTTTTCCTGATAAACAGCGTGTACAGTAAACACCACATTTTGTTTCTTCGTTTAAAACTACACATTTTATTTATATATATATATGCAATAAAACATTTAAAAAATTGTCTTACACAAGTTAAGTTGGTTAAATAATAAAAATCCCTCAGAAAACAAAGCGTCACTTTACTGTGAGTGTTTGTGTTTCAGTTATGATAGAAAACACTGATGATTTATTCAGGCACTTTTTGTTGATGCTGTGTCACTGATGGGAACAGAAAATAAAATTCATGTGTCAAAATGTTAAAACAACAACTTAAACGACATTTTGATCAGCTGATAATAAAACTATTTAACAGTCACTGTGACTTCCTGTTTTAGTGTTATCAGAAGGGTGGTGTGCAGACGAAGCAGTGACTCACTTTGGACTGAAGCTGAAACAGAAGTCCACCTGACTTCAGATGTCACGATCAAACCGATCGATGGTGAACCTGCTGATAAACACCTCAAGAATCAACTTTATGTTTAAGAAGAGGAGAGCTAAACTCTGCGATCAGATGCATTTACAAAAGAGAGTCTTACCTGCTTCACAGGAGAGGACCTGGACTGATCGATACTGGAGAGTGTGTGTGTGTGTGTGTGTGTGTGTGTGTGTGTGTGTGTGTGTGTGTAGTTGCTGGTTAAATAATAACCAGTCCGATCCATCTGTCTCTCACTCTACAGTTTTATGAGGTTGTAAAACAGACAAACATCCTGTAAATTTGGATTTAAAGGGACACTTTATAAAGGAAGTGTAGCGTGTGTGTGTTCTCATAATGAGGCTATGAGAGATAGTCATATTAACTTACAGGTAACATGTTATATTAACTCATATTTATGATAGTAATAATTACTAGTCCATACCCATTGAGTACAGCATACCATACCATGACTTAGTCATACCAAACATTAGAAAACACCACCAACATTGGTCCACAGGGGGAGCCACAGCGATCGGTCGCATTTTAGCCATTTTGAAGCATTTTTCTGTTGTTATAGCGCCACCCAGTTGCCAATTAGAGTTAAATTTCTCCAGTCACCTTGAGGCGTCCTGTTCTACATATCTACCAAGTTTAGTAAAAATCCATATGGCGGTTAGGCCTAGATAAGAAATGAGCTCTCTAGCGCCCCCATTTTGTTTGATGGGGTCAATAATGGAGGGGTCCCCTCAGATTATGTGTGGTCATATGCCTACAAAGTTGCGTGGTGATGGGTGAAACCCTTGAGATGTTATACACCTTTATGTGATGAGCCACGCCCTCCGCAATATTCATTGCCTTATAGAAGCTCAGTTTTAGTAAGTTTTCCAACTTTTGCCAAGAGGGAACTTTAGATATTGGTCCCTAGATTATGTTCACCCAGTTTCATGCAGATCGCTCAAACTTCCTAGGAAGAGATCCATTTGAAGTGTTTTTCAAAAAATTCAAAATGGCGGAAAATCTATATAAGCGGAAGTTATGGGTTCTTGAGGCAAATGTGTTCCTCATGAGGAGAGGCATCTCTGTGCAAAGTTTCATGTCTCTACGACATACGGGGCATGAGATATGCCCATTCAAAGTTTGACATTTCAATGGGTTGCTATAGCGCCCCCCTTTGGCCAATTGATGTAATATTGCTTCATTGGCATCCTCCCATGACCCTCTACCACTGTACCAAATTTCACATGGATTGACCAAGTCAGTGAGGGGAAAAACGTGGAACACACACACACACACACACAGACAGAGTGTTCATCATTATATAGTCAGATGGGATACCATGCTGTGATTATAACGTGTTATCTTATAATTCTGAAATATTCTAAAAGTCATAATAATGATCAAAACACTTGTCATCATGGATTTCTTCCTCTAAACGAGCCTCTTTAACTGTTTGTGTTCATGTGTCACAGTGAAACCTGGATGAACAGGTGGTGGTGCGACGTCGTGGTCGACCCTCGTGTGACGCTGCTCCGTCACTGCTCCCTGTGTGAAATAAAGTCAGAGTGAAAACTGTCGGTGCCTCGGGCGTCTGCAGAGAGGAACATCATCATCTGCTCATAGTTTATCCTGACGGACACCAGAGATAAGATAATGTGAGGCTGCTGCTCTTATTATTAACAGACACACACACACTTTCATCATGTGGACATCTTCTCTGACATGTCAGGACGTGATGACCTCCGATTTTAACACATGTCAGGACCTGTTGACATCATACGTTCTCCATTTAACCAAAAGGCAGCATTAAAATACTCGACGGCGGAGATGATCCACAACCAGCTCCTCCGAGTGCATCGATGGCTGAGAGCAGAAAGCTGTTTCACTTTATCGTGTTAATCACATTATCATCAGGACGACGGGGAAACTGTGTGTGTGAAACTAAACTGTGACATCAAGGAAACACAGGTGGGAAAGTGACGATAGTGCAGTGACCTATACTCAACGAGGAAGCTGGGGAACACAGCTGGAAGAGTGACATAAGCCTCTGTGTGTGTGTGTGTGTGTGTGTGTGTTTGTTATCTTTATAACAACCATATCCAAACTGAGGACAGTGATGCCCAACAGCAACCAGCCACAAAAGAGGAATCATGCTCACACACAGTCTCTCCTCCGTCTCCAAACTGATTCTGGGAAACAATAAAAAAAGTACAAAATTTGGTCATATGTACCAGAACATGAAAAGTTTCTGCAAAACTGTCTTTGCAACGACCGAAATTCAACATCATCTGTCTTTATGTTTTAATAGCACTGTGGTTAACATGAGGTTAGGTTTAGGCATGAATCCACCTGGCTATGGTCAGGAAAAGATCATGTTTTGGCTTAAAATACCCGGTTTGAGGCGCACAATCCCCACTGGAAACACAGTGACGTATGTAAAAAAAAAAAAAGAGTTTTCCTGCCACCAACCAGTCACTGTTTTTCGTTGCAAAAACACCGACAAGTTGCAAAAACACTCCCATGTTTGTGGGCTAAAGTCCTCTGGAAAACAGCTACAGGTCGATCAAAAACACCAATCTTTAGTGGCTAAAAAGCCACAGAGAAAACAGCCACATGTTGCAAAAAAGCCTCGTTTGGAGGCTGAAAAGTGCTGTAAAAACAGTCATAATTAAGGGCTGAAAATTTACAAGTTGCTTAAAAACACCCTCGTCTTAGGACCAAAAAGCAGCTGAAAACACAGCCATGGGTTGCTAAAAAACAAGCATGTTTGGGAGCTGACTGCTGGAAAATAGCCACAGGTCTCTAAGAAATACCAAAAATTAGAGTCTGAAAATCTGCTGGAAAAACAACCACATTTAAGGGCTTAAAAGCCACTAGAAAAACAACAGCAGGTTGCTAAAAACATTCATGTTTAGGGGCTAAAAAGTTACTGGAAAAAACAGACATAGGTCTCTAAAAAATACTCACATTTCAGGGCTAAAAAGCCACAAGAAAATCATCATCAGCTTGCCAAAAAACATCCACATTTTGGGACCAAAAAGCAGCTGTAAACACAGCCCAGTGTTGCTAAAAACAACCATGTTTGGGAGCTGAAAATTTGCTGGAAAAATGGCAACAGGAAGTTAAGAAAACACCCTCATTTGGGGCCTAAAAAGCAGCTGGAAACACAGCCACGGGTCTCTAGAACACATCCATCTTAAGAGGCTAAAAGTTACTTGAAACACAGCCACAGGTCTCTAAAAATACCCACATTTAGGGGCTAAAAAGCCACAAGAAAAATAACATCAGCTTGCTAAAAAAACACCCTCGTCTTAGGACCAAAAAGCTGCTGGAAACACAGCCATGGGTTGCTAAAAAACAACCATGATTGGGAGCTGAAAAACCGCTGAAAAACAGCCACAGGTCTCTGAAAATACCAAAATTTAAATCTGCTGGAAAAACAGCCACATTTAAGGGCTTAAAAGCCACTAGGAAAACAACAGCAGGTTGCTAAAAACATTCATGTTTAGGGGCTAAAAAGCAGCTGTAAACACAGCCATCGGTTGCTAAAAAACAACCATGTGTGGGAGCTGAAAATCTGTAAAGTTTCGTAGGTTAGTTTTAGGAAAAGAAACGTAGTTGTGCGTTGTCTCGTACTTAATGTCACATTCAGGGGTTATGTGTTGGAAAGTTATGTAGGTTAGGTTTAGGTAAAGAAACATGGAGACAATGAAATAATTCAAAGTTTACTTACGCTGTGTCTCAAATCACGTACTTCTGTACTTACACTTAATATTTAGAGTGCAGAAGTGCGTTCACACTGAGAAGTATGGAAAAATGCAGTGCACTGTGAGTACCCTGATGGTGCACTCAAAACGGTCATGAAGTTGTGTGTGGAACTATGGACACTTCTCACCCGCAATGGTCGCCATCTTGGCTACGAAGCAGAAGGGGAGGGACCACTTTTCAAACTGGAAATGGCAGCCAAGGACTGTGCGACTGTGAACGTCGCTGCATTATACAAATACATGTTTTTTGCACTAAGCACCACTATACTGCTGTCGGGTATAAGCCAGCAGTATGTTAGCAGTCTGTAATGATTTGGTACTGCGAACGATAACGCGAATGCTAATGCTAGTTTGCTAACTCACTAATTTGCGGTCATCATTTCCGGTGAGTGCACAACGGCTGTGTTTGGTTTAAGACAACACTACCCTGTCGAAATTTGCGCACTGCGTTAATGAGTACATAGTGCACACAGTATACTACATGAGTGTGTGCTAACGGAAGTATGTGATTTGAGACACACCATCGGTTTCAAACATGAACACTGGTCTTCTAGGGGAAAGTGTTTGTTTGACCCAAACACGCCAACATGCCTCCTGACATGAACTTCCTCTCTGTATTCTACTTCCTTCCTTTCTCCCGTCACTGCATTGGTCACGTGATCGCAGCCTTCCCAAGTACATGGGTTATATAAGTCTGGTGCAATACTTTCTGTAGGTACAAACAATGTGAACAGCCTGGCTGGTTAGCCAACATGATAATGTTTCAAATCAGAAAATGTTTATTGGTCATTCTGTTGTTAAATTACAGATATGATCCTTAAATATGTAGAAATGAAGACCAGGCACAAAGTGTGTGAGGCCTCAGTTTTATAGAAAGTGAGTTTTAGGGGTTTTAAGAGCAACTAAACATCTAAAGTTACCCAACTAATTCAGACAGACAAAGACATTAAATCAGATAACATGTTATAGTTGAAAGTGAGACCTCAGTGTAAGACAATCTGATGACCCATGGACACACTGTGTTTCATTCAGCCGTCTGGGTTTCATTACAGGATGAAGAAATCACCTGTCATCCCTGTGACAGATATTTAAATAGGCAAAGAGTTTAAATAACCGAGGCTGAGCTTTAACTCTGTGGTCATAAATAACTTTTATCTGCACAGATGGAATCACTTCCCTGTGTCCTTACAGGCCCACAGGCATGTCTTTTCCTCTTTGCTAATCTTATCACCACCCACCAGCACCGGGGAAACAGCCAGCGCCTGGGTTTCAGATGCACGGGCTCCAACCAGATGTAGGACCTCAGATATTCAATGTTTCATCAGCGACTGACACGACGTGGCCTCACAGAAACATATCTGCACACCTGAACATGATAGCTGAACATGTGATCTCAAACCCAACTGCATTTATAACCTATAGAGTGCCGTTTGTAAAGTGGCATGTTGTCAAACAATCATGTTGTAACTAAGACATCCGCTGGAAAAAAATATTTTTTTCACGGACTGTTTAAGAGTTAATGAGTCATTACAGACACCGCTAACAGGGCTAACAGCTAATGGTTAGCCCAGCTAATCTACGATAACCATGTTATTATTTACAAAACATGCACACAGAAATAGTAATATTTGTTCAGTCATTGTGTTTATAGACTTTACGAACACCAGATTAGTCTAAGCGGTGATACAGTGACGTGAAAAATGTGAGATATTCATATGTAGTTAAACTCTGCTGGTTTTCTACCCGGAAGTATTTGTCAACAACCAGGCGATTCCCTCTGAAGGGACACTAACAGCTCAAAGTACACGTCAAATAAAATTTCTCCAAACATGTTTCTTGTTATTTTAGGTAGTTATTATCACGTTAATGTATGTTCAAGTGTTCATTTCCCCCGATAAGTTGGTTTTAATTCGTTATTTGATTCTATAAACACAGTCTGACCATCTCGAGCTTTTATTTGGGACTTCCGGTGACCGGCAGTGTTAATTTGCATATTTGCTAAATATTTAGTTTCACCCAGAACATTTAGATTTAACATTTAACATTTAGATTTAGATTTAATAATTAGATTTAACATTTAGATTTAGATTTAATATTTAGATTTAACACTTAACATTTAGGTGCCACATTTAATATTTAGATTTAACTATTAAATATATTTCTAAGTTAACAAATATTGCTGTAAATGTGGTAAAAGGTGATGTTAAAAAATTCACAACATTTTTTAAACACTGTTTGAAGCTAAATGTGGCAAAATGATGTTATTTTCAGCGTGAGCCACTTTACAAACGGCACCCCATAATAACCACCTTCACTCTTCAATGCTTCATTTGAAAATGTTATATTTGTCCCAAAGACCAGACACACAAACATGTTGAAGATGACAAATCAGTTTAATCATAAAACACAGGTTAGTGATGGATCGACAGACTGCCTCAGATTCTTACTTAAAGTGGTGGAAATACAATCCAGTTATAAACAGTTACTCCAACGTCCATCCAAAATATACAGGAACAACTTATAGAAAAATAACTCTTATCACAACAACAACGACAACAACAGTGCAATCGAACAGGACGTCAGGACGAACCTCGGGCCATAAAGTTTGGGCAGGGACAGATTTAACATCTGAGTTTCTACTGACGTCCAGTTTTCTCTTTTCCAAACAGGCGTTAGCTTGACAGAAGCAGAGAAGGTACATTTGTGGTTCAGTTGTGTTTCAGGGGAACGTTATAACTCTACAGAGTAGGCCTGGGAGATACAGAGAAAATCAAATATGTTATTTTTGACCAAATTATTGAGGCGATGCTGTTGGGCTGATGATCGGTGCGTTCACAAAATGATTACATGATGAGATTTTTGATAAATAATCATCAGTACGAGTACGGTGGATATAATGACTGAGTGAGTAAAGGCAGACGATGAGAGAAACAGTTTGGTAAATTACATCACTGTAAAGTAATGCAGCCTTTAAAACCAGAAAGAAACAATACTTAAAATATTACCACGTCCAAAATGTAAATATCATGATATGGATTTAATGCCCAGCCCTGCTACAAAGCTCTTCATTTCATCTAAATGGGTCCTTGAAGTAAAAACCTCACAGTTTAGCTAACGTGACTTTGGCTAATCTAAGCTAAGCCCTGTGGAGGCTAAAACCAGTTAATGCACTGGTCAGAGACGTTTTTATGTATGCTTTGTCTTTCCTGGTCACAAAACCAGACAGAGAATTTAAAGTAAAGTTCAGTTTTGTTAAATCAAGATAAATTCCGGTGTTAAGCTAACGCAAGACTTTGAGTGTGCCTCAAATCTCATACTTCCGTTAGCAAACTTCAGCATAGTACACTATGCACACTACATTCTTTTTACACGGTGCGCTAATGTCTACAGGGTCGTGTTGTAACTGCCTCTTCTGCTTATTTTAAAACTGAAAATATTAAACGTTAAGTACTGACGTATAATCTGTGACACACTGTTTGTCTGACATTAGCTTCGGTAGGCTTAGCTAGCTAAGCTTAACAAAGACTTTGTTTTAGCTAATGAAAGATTTGCTGTTAAGTTAGCCGCCAATGCTAAGTCTGACATTAGCTTAGCTAGGCTAACGTAAACTTAGCTAGCTAAGCTTAAGAAAGACTTTGTTTTAGCTAATAAAAGATTTTCTGTTAAGTTAGTCTGACATTAGCTTTTTCAGAGTGGCATCAAAATAGTATGTAAATAATAAAATTAATTAGAACTGAAAACATGTTTGTATTGTGTGATGGTGTTTAGCTAGTTTTGCTGAACTGTCTTCTTTTACGGCAGCTAAAATCTTCGTAACTGGGTCGAAATAAATCTACGTATTTTGTGCAATTTAGGAGTTTTGGTCAGAATGTAGTTTAATAACCAAAACTATGAAACTGAAATAGAGTGATCCAGGGATGATGTTTTTCTGTAGGCCCATGTGGAAGTTAGCGCCCCCTGATTCTGTCGTCAGAAAGCCAGTGGGATTTTTTGTCTTTCTTAAGACTCATAGAAGCTTCTAAATTCACAGCGGGATATTTACCGACGTATTTTATGTCATAGAGCAAAACCTGAAAGTCTCTTCAGCTTGTGTTAACCACAGACTTATTTCAGACGATGCACCAAAACCCGCTGCTAACATGCTAACTCATTTCTGGGTTTGAAGACTCATTCCTTGAGTGCTCTGTTAGTGATACCAGCTGGCCCTATTGTCCCAGTTAGCACCATATTTCCTTGTTTGAGAGTTACAATCTATTTTAGACAGTTTCTAGTGGAACAGATATTTGTGGGTCCTCGCAGCCGTCGCAGCAGATATGTATCAGGCTCTCAGTATTAATGGGTTTCCTGTCGGTGTAAATGGGGTCAAACCGGATTTCAAAGTGGTTTCTGCTCGTCTAGACGGCCAGGAGGAAACCAGACCTGAACCACAAAGAGTTTCACATCCCGCTGAGTTTGTGTGTGAATGCAGCCTGACAGGAAGTTCATTAGCATTGAGATACTGGGACCGTGTGGGGGAGGAGGGGGGGTTTCACAGGTGTAAACAGGTATGGTTATTCACCCCTCCCTCCGGTCGTCGCTGTCTCACTCTCTTCTCTGTTCTGCCTCTCGTTCCCTCTGGAGTCGGTCATCAGCAAAGAGAAGGTCGTCGTTCCTTCCTTTCCTCTGTCAAGCCTCTTCTTCCTCTCCACCCTTAGTTCTTTTAAATCCGTCCATCCTTCAGTTTTTCTGACACACGTGGAGTCTCGTCTTTGCCACCGACGGCGACGATTTCGCTGCTGACGAAGACAGCAGTGACGTCTGAGGGGAGGAGTGGCGAGACGAGGACGCCGCGAACTTTGACTTTGACGCCGCCGCCAGCAGAGATGAGGAAGACGATGATGGCGGTGAGGAAGGCTGGGCGCTGGGCTCTCGCAGCATTCTGCAGCTAAGTCCTCCGCCGCAGGGGCAGCGCTGGAACAGCTCCAGGCCGTGGTTGCCCTTACGGCGGTGTCGCGTGCAAACCTGTCCCTCCCTCAACACGGGCTTGCAGATGCGAGTCCAGAAGTGACGGGCGCAGCACAAAGCGTCCGAACAGTCTGAGGAGCGAAGACAGGGATCCCCGACCTGACCTGGAACGAGACGACAGACGATACGTGAAGGACAGAGGTTAGAGGAGCATCACTGCTGAGTCATTGTGCAGTCTGACAGCTGACAGCCTGAAACATGTTCAAGACAACATTCAGAGGATCAGTGGTGAATAAACGACCTCACCTTTACCGGAGGACCCTCTGACGTCCATCTTGCCTCTCTTCCTCCATCCTTTCTTTTTAGACAGCGGACTCGTCCCTCCATCTGAGTCTGGGATCCTCTGAGACACAAAACTGTCCTCGTCAGGGACACAGAGATCTGAAGGAGACACAGAGGAGTGAATGAACATCTGAATATGGGAACTACCAAGACTATGAGACATTAAATTAAAATAAGATTAAGATTATGAGATAGTAAATTCAGAGCAGTGAGATACTGTGTTCTTAGTAAATAAAAAATAATTAAACATTTTAGATATTACGTCACTTTTACAACATGAAAAAACATGAAAAATTAAATCAAAGTTTTGAGTTTTTAAATGATGCTGAATCATAATTTCGACACAATAGAATCGAAATTTTGACTTTGATTTCCTGTCTTGATTTTAAATTAATAAATACAAACTTGTGCCTTATCATTTTGACTCGTATGACTATTTTTTATTTTACATATATTTTTCATATATTTCTAAATCAGTTTATCGTCATCTAAACTATCGTTTTTTTAGTTATTAATAACACAGTAACCTTTCTGGTTTTTGTGGAGTAGACCTACAGAAATTTTGACGTGAAAGTTGAAATGTTGATTTACATTTAGTAAATAACATGTTTACTTTATAATTCTGACTTTCATTATTCATTAACATTTCATCTATTGTCTGAATTTATTTCTGATGTCACAATAAAAACAAACGCGTTATTACAATGGACCGCACACAGGCTAAACTCACTGTTGCTGCAGCGGTTGCCTGGGCAACACATCCCATCCCTATGGCAACGCCTCTTCCTCCTGCGGCAGGTCTGACAGCGGGAGTGGGCGGGGCCTTTGCTGGGGGCGTGGCAGTAGCTCCCCTCGCTGCACTCCAGGTCGCTCATGCACTGATAGAGCTGCACACACACACACACACACACACGTTAATAACGCTGCTGCTGTGAAACACACTCACACACCGCTCACAACAAACACACACACACACTCACCGTCAGGTCCAAACTCGGCTCCCACGCGCTCCTGTTCACCGGCAGCACGTGCCCCTCCCTCAGGATCACCGTTCTGATGGAGTTGAGTCTGACACGCGCCTCCCCGCCGCGGGAACACGCCACCAGCACGAGCGCGAGACACACCATCAGCACCATTTGACGGCTCATGATGACGAGCTGCTGCTGGAACAAATAAATAAATAAATAAATAAATAAATAAATAAACTCCTGAAATACTGGATAAATAGAAAATTAAAAAATAGAAAAAAGAATACACAAATATACTCCCCAAATACTTGAAAAATTAAATGAAATAACATAAAATAAAATAAAAAATAAACTCCTCTAATACTGGAAAAATAAATAAATAAAAAATAAACTCCTGAAATACTGAATAAATAGAAAAATAAAAATAAGAGAATTAAACAAATATACTCCTCAAATACTGGAAAAATAAAATAAAATAAAATAAAATAAAATGATGTAAAATAAAAAAAAATAAACTTCTTAAAATACTGGAAAAATAAATACATACATAGGCCTAAATAAACTCCTGAAATACTGGGGGGAAAAAGATGAAATAAAATAAAATAAAATAAAATTCAATAAAACGAAATCATCAAATACTGGAAAAATTGAATGATATAAAATAAAATAATGTAAAATAAAATAAAAATAAACTTCTGCAATACTGGAATAATAAATGCATACATAAATAAACTCCTGAAATACTGAAGAAAACGAAATATTTTACTTAAAACAGTTTCTAAACTTAAACTTACACTCCTGCACTGTTTGATAAAATAAAAATTGTTGTAACTTTCCTGTAATTTCACTTTGAAACACGTGTTTACTGTAGATGACAGTAACCTCACTGCATCACTGTAAGGCTCCACGTTATTTTACTGAAGCTGAATTCAGAGTTAATGTTCTAGAAGTTTGTGGGGAACTGAAAACAACCTCCATGAGCAGGATCTCTGAGTTTAAACAAAGTACAAAGTCAGAACAGCTCGACATGTCTCACCTGCTCCTCTCACAGTGAAGCTCCTGTCCTCTGAAACTCCTTATAAAGTGATGGGAATGACGTCAGCCTCAGGTTGTTGCTGCTGCTGCTGCTGTTAAATCCAGTTTCTCCAAACTTTACTCACACACAGGCAGTGTGTGTGTGTGTGTGTGTGTGTGTGTGTGTGTGTGTGTGTGTGTCCGCAGCAGCTGAGACAGGTGAGATGTCTCCGGACCTTCATCCACTTTATAGGCTCCCTCCACTGCCACGCGCGCACCCGGTTCCGCCCACAGCCCCGGCCACGAGCCCCCCGCCCCTCCCGCGCTCACATCGATACCCGCGCGCCCCCTCACCTGCAGCCATCGATACAGAGACAGAGACAGAGAGGAAGATGTGAGCTCAGCTGCAGAGTCTGAAACACAGGTCCCTTTAAACAAAATAACTTCTCTACAGTTTGTCATTTAATTAATGAGACACAAACATATTTTGATGCACAAACACTGACGTCACTGTAGGAGACATTTTAATGACCAAACACAGACAGTCTGAGAGATGAGGGTCAAATACATTGTATGATGTTTTCTGCAGAATCACATGAAGGGTTCAAACAGACATCTGTAAATCAGGAAATAAGACTGATACACATCTCAGAGTGTGTGTGCAGTCACATTAATATTAGTCACACTGGATTTTATTTATTTTGAGGAATGTCTCTCATCTGTTTTTAACTCTTCATGTATTTACCTGAGATGATGCAAACACAATGTTCTGATCAGTGATGCAAGAAGTTTGCAGATATTTTACTTGAATAAAAATCCTGCATTTGAATGAAAGTACAGATTCATGAGCAGCACACTGTGGGCCTGTTGAAGATAGTTTCTGTGTCTCTGCACCTCTTTATGGTCTTACTGAGTGTCCTCCAGGTCGGTGTTCATGTCTTTGATGTTTTGCAGATGAACGCTGGGGCCCCTGACACTTTGGCCCCTGGGCCCGTTGAGTAATCTGTCCCTGGTAGTTGGACATCATGGTCTTGGCACTTTAACTTGAGTCTGAATATTTCCTCCTCCACTGACAGCTGGATGGATGAATTTTGTTCAGACATTCAGTGAGACTTAAACTCCTCATTTAACCCGATGATGAGTTACTCTGTTGAAAATGTAATTAGTAACTTAACTGTTTTGATTACTTCATGAAAGTAATGTAACTTATTACATTTGAAAAACGTAAAAACCTTAAATAAAACCAGGCAGTGTAAAGTTCTCTACAGCACTGATCACTGTCACACTCTGATTAAAACTCTCCAGTATAATGACGAACACACAATGTTTTATTCTACATATAAACTCTGATCTCTTTGTAATTTTGATTAGTGACAGTGATGACATATTTCCTCCCAGTAACTAAGAAATTACAGTTACTTTTATTTGTCATTTAATTACATGTACCAGTGACTCCTCAGCAGCCTCAATCTGACCATGAACATGTTTTATTCTCTGTATGTCTCAGGGTCAGAAGCTGCATGATTCATCTCTCTCATGTTCAGAAACCTGAATAAACTCCATCTGCAGAACTCTGATAGAAACCAGGAGGAAACACGCCGCGACACGTGACCAGGAACAATACGGTCAGAAAACACCCGGGGATGATGGTGCCTTCCACCTACATGTCAAAGGTCAGAGTCTGGATCCTGGGGCAGATGTGACCTGATGAAGTCATGAATCCAGAGTCTGCAGCTCAGCTTCACGTCTCAGTGGAGGATGAATCCACCAATCAGGAGACAGCAGACAGAAAATAAAGCGGAGGAGGACGACAGGTAGCTGCAGGTGATGATGTGTAAACTGATCTGTGAATGGGCCGACTGTCTGCAGTGTGTTCTTCTTCCTACACATTATACACACAAAGGAAACACATCAGTCAGCACTGGGACGAAATACTCCATTACTCAGCACAATGTGAACACACCTGTACTTGAGTATTATACTGATATATATATTTATGTACACACACACACACACACACACACACACAAACACACACAGATGGTAAGCTCATAAAATATTGTTAATACACAGTGTTACACATGAAAGTTTATTAAGTAATTAAAATCAGCTGCACTCTGACAAACACCTGCTGTAAATACATCTGTGACAATAATCCAGAATTAAAGAATACTGTATACTTTTGGTGCTTTAAACTTTTGAAACCCGACAGAAAACTGGCTTGATTTCTTTAAAAACTCAAAAGACAAGAACCGACCCAAGATATTAGGCAAAAGAGAAAATTCAAAACAAGTCAATTAAAACAAGTTAAAAACAAACCAACCTAGAAATTACCCGAAAAAGTGCTTAAAAATGATAATAATTTTGTAACATAATTTTAAAATGTAATATATTATAATTAAAAATACAGATTTTTTTTAGATTTTTCTTAATATGTTGGGGGTTTTTTGCAGTTTGTGGGACATTTCTTGTTCGTTGCTCAGTGTCTTTTTCCCCCATGTTTGTGAAAGACATCTCACCAGTCAGCTCAGAGTTTAAAGGGTTAAACACTTGCAAATGACATCTGAAAGCAGCACATGAAAAGTGATGGTGCTCCAGGTTTCAGAGGCATCAGAAAGACACATAATGACCTCAGAAACAGAAAATAACCAGATAGACATGATGACCCCAAAGACACATACAATGACTACAAGGAGACAAAACAACCAAAAACGACACAAAACAACCTCAAAGAGACAAAAAACGACCTCAAACAGACAAAAAACAATGTCAAAGAGACAAAAAATGACCTCAAAGAGACAAAAAACAACCTCAAAGAGACAAAAAATGACAAAAAGACAAAAGGACCTCAAAGGGACAAAAAACAACCTCAAAGAGTCAAAAAATGACCCCAAAGAGACAGAAAACGATCTCAGAGAAACAAAAAACAACCTCAAAGAGGCAAAAAATTACCAAAAGACAAAATGACCCCAAAGAGACAAAAATCAACCTCAAAGAGACAAAAAAGACCAAAAGACAAAATGACCCCAAAGAGACAAAAAACAACCCCAAAGAGACAAAAAAAGACCAAAAGACACATGACTTCAACGAGACACAAAATGTTAACAAAAGAAAACAAACCACAACACTTTGTAATGCAACAACAAAGAGACATGACACCACAAAGTCCGTCTGACTTGCTCCTCTCTATGAGGGGTGGTGGGGCCTCCTGCATATCTGTGCCCGGGGCCCCACTGGCTCGTAGTCAGCCCATGGTCGATACTCCACTGCCGGTAGGAGTCCTTCATTTGAAAACTTAGTGACGTAAAACTACACAAGTGTCATCATCAAAGTGTGTTGACAGTGTTTAAAGTTCCTACACAGTTAGAGATCAGTGGTCCCCAACCTGAGGGTCGGGCCCCTGCAAAGGGTCACCAGATAAATTTGAGGGGTCGTCAGATGGTTAACGAGTCAGCTCCAAATATGGTCATTTCTGGCTCCAAAAGAACAAGATGGTGACGGCTGAAGTGCTGAAGTCAAGAGACCAGTGGGTGACGTCACTGTGGCTACGTCTGTTATTTCATATACAGTACAGGCCAAAAGTTTGGACACACCTTCTCATTCAATGCGTTTTCTTTATTTTCATGACTATTTACATTGTAGATTCTCACTGAAGGCATCAAAACTATGAATGAACACATGTGGAGTTATGTACTTAACAAAAAAAGGTGAAATAACTGAAAACATGTTTTATATTCTAGTTTCTTCAAAATAGCCACCCTTTGCTCTGATTACTGCTTTGCACACTCTTGGCATTCTCTCCATGAGCTTCAAGAGGTAGTCACCTGAAATGGTTTTCCAACAGTCTTGAAGGAGTTCCCAGAGGTGTTTAGCACTTGTTGGCCCCTTTGCCTTCACTCTGCGGTCCAGCTCACCCCAAACCATCTCGATTGGGTTCAGGTCCGGTGACTGTGGAGGCCAGGTCATCTGC